GGGCCGCTCCGCCGCCGCCATGAACAGCGTGGGCGAGGCGTGCACTGAGCTGAAGCGCGAATACGACCAGTGCTTCAACCGCTGGTTCGCCGAGAAGTTCCTCAAGGGCGACAGCGCCGAGGACCCCTGCGGGCAGCTCTTCAAGCGCTACCAGCTCTGCGTGCAGGTGCGTGCGGCTCCCGCTGCCCGGTCTCCGGTGCCCTTCCGGCGCTGCTGCTGCTGCTGCCCGTGCGCTTTGTCCCCGCTGCTCTTTTGCCGGACTCCTTCCGTTCTCCTGGTGGCCCCGGAAGGAGCCTCTGCCCGCAGCTGCGCAGCCCACCGCGCTGCTACGGCGTTTCTCGTCTCCTGTCTCTGCCGGTCGTGACGTGTGATATTTTACAGGCGTTCCTTGCTGTGTTTTTCGTGCTAATATAACTTCTGGAGCCTGCTGCTTTAGGGGCTGTAGTACTTTACCTGATAGGATCTGGGTTGTAGTTCAGCATGAGGTCTCAGTACGTAGTTGACCATCTTTAATATTGACACTTCATCCAAACGTGTCTTAAGACTGCTCTTTTGAGATCGTGGTTTGTCCCAAAGATTACATCACTTAACACCATAAGGGCATGTCGAGTTTAATTTTTTGGTTCTGTTTCTCTTCTTTTCAGAAAGCGATCAAGGAAAAGGACATACCCATCGAAGGCCTGGAGTTCATGGGCCCAAGCAAAGGAAAAACTGAAAACTCCTCTTGACCTCGACTCTATGGATGGAGTCACTAAATGGAGCCTTTGGAATGAGGAACTCCACCAGGCATAAGACTGGACACCTGGATAAGACCTTTGTTAAGCTGCTCTCTAGGAAGCAAGGAGTCCTCCCTGCTTGTAAAAACAAACAGACACACGCACACAAAAAAGACTGGCTCATGTGGTAACTGCTGCCTCCTTCTCAATGAATTGTGGTGGTGGTTCAGCATCTGACAGTGCGGAAAGCCATCTGAACTAACTTCCTGCCGAATGTACACTGTAATGGGAGAATGCTGCTTGGAGTGGGCTGAGGTAGTAGTTGCTTTGTGGCAGATTTCTTTTGCTTACTTATATAACACTTGAAAGTGTTTAAAATAGTAGGAAGGAGGTTGATTTACTTTGTCTTGTCTCTAATGTGCTGAATTTTAGTGGAAGAACTTTATTTTACATGATCCTGAATGCTGAGGGCCTAAAGTGTTTTGTATCAGCAACAGAGGTGGTGTAAAAGCACTCTCTTGGACCTGCAATAACTTAGCTAAAATAAATATAACCAGGGTACATTTTGTTCAAGTACATAACTGTCCAGTGGAATCTGATTGTAACCTCCAGGAGGGACAGAGGTGGCCTGCAACAGAAGCTGAAGAAGACACTTAATGCAGGGGCTACTTCTTCAGCCTTTTCTGAGGTTCTGAAACAACCCTGAACCTGAACTCCCTCTCCTTTAGCAGTCTGTGTTCCTGCAGTAAAACCACAAAGCACCAGGCTGGCCATGCTCACTGTTAGACTTTTGTCTGCGGTACTTGAAGCATGTGTTGAATGAGGGAAACGCTGGGTTGAAGCTTGGCAGCTGATAATGTTGAAAGCCCCAGCTGCTGCATGGAGATTTCACCTGCTCATGAAACTGCTGCTG